ACTTTCTATTTCAATTGAAACGATAAACATAAAAGTTGAGAATATTAGTACATGTAACATCTTTTGCAAAATATGACGTGGTGTAGGAAAATTGGTACAGATTCTTTCAGCCATCTATTTATTTAAATAATAAAGTAATTTAAGTCCAATAAAAGCAATTCAAATCCTTTGAGGATTGTTACACTTTATTCAAAAAATTTTGAGAATTCGGTTGGTTTGGGACAGTTGATATATTCAGATGGACGTAGTTGAATAAATATTCTCTATAAGTTCACCAAATTATGCACTTTCACTCGTGCAATAAAGAAATGTTTAATTCTATGTTCGGTGATCTGTTTGCCTAGTCTGTATAAATTTCGAACGAAATGACTACATTACATGGCACTTGTTGATGAAGCAACAACAGCTTGTTGATTCTTCGTTCTATCAAATAGTTCGTAAAATATGCCCTTGTTTGAATAAGCATTTAAAATTTATATTTCCGTGATAAAAATTTCAGCTTAAAAGCTAGGATTATCGATTTGCTTTAGTTTCGCATAATGTCTGCGGTCTACATTACGTCACAAAGCTGCACGTAGTATTCCTACCATCCAACTCAATGCGTAGGATTTTGAAAGTAGAAGGGTTGAATGATTACCATAATTTTTTTTTGCGTACACATTGCGACAAGTTGTCATACAGGGGGTCCCAAAAATGATGTCAGACAGAAGCAAAAAGGAGTTACATATCAATTTCATCATCATAAAGTCGTCTGTCTTAATACTGCTTGGTCTAGACCTTCACTGTTTCCTATCCTGAGCTAATCTTCGAATTTCTTTAAGTCCCTAACATCCACATCCAAAAGTATTTGTGAACAGTTCTTTTTTGTATTCTAATAATAATGTTAAAAGAATCTGCCCTTTTGTAAAGTAAAATGTAATGTGTATTCCTAAAATTGTATATTAAATCCTGCAAATTACTATTTTCTCGTAGTGATTAATCCTGAACTTTAATTAGAGTGTTTTTGTTGGACCGAATAATAGAGATATAGAATAGCAACGATGCTTACAAGTGAAGCTCTTCACTACTTATCTTTTTAAAATGATAAAAGGTCGAATTGCTGCTTAACCTACCGTTATATTGTGTAGTGTAGATATAAAAAAGAAGGCGGATACTTTCTGGATAATTTTCTAAAATATCACAGGAAATGGTAAGAAAATTTGCCAAAAGAAACACTTGTTTTGTTAATAAGTGGGCCAGTAATATAAAATTAGGTTAAGGAATTCCTCCAATTAGATAAGTAATTTACACAATTACTTATTTTAGATTCGCTTTATCCTTATTCAAAATAGAGCTGGAAAGACCAGATTAGCTAAGTGGTACATGAATTTTGATGATGATGAGAAGCAAAAACTCATTGAAGAAGTTCATGCAGTGGTAACTGTAAGGGATGCAAAGCACACTAACTTTGTTGAGGTAAATATACCATGCTCGTATTGCATATTTACATGATTCAGTCAGTGATTTGCATGACTTATTAAGTTGTTAATGCAAGTGTTTTTCAGTTTCGAAACTTTAAAATTGTCTATCGCCGTTATGCAGGATTGTACTTTTGCATATGTGTTGATGTAAATGACAACAATTTGTCATATTTGGAAGCAATACATAACTTTGTGGAAGTATTGAACGAGTATTTTCACAATGTGTGTGAATTGGATCTTGTTTTTAATTTTTATAAGGTGTATACAGTAGTAGATGAAATGTTTCTTGCTGGAGAAATTAGGGAAACTTCTCAAACCAAAGTTCTCAAGCAACTTTTAATGTTAAACAATTTAGAATGAATAAAAGGGCAAACAGAATTACTGTACATTTTAAAGTAATGCCATTATGATAAGGCTGATAATTATTACAATGTTTAATTGTATCTTAACATATTGAAATCAAATTGTAGAATTTGAAACGATAATAAGAAAATCACGTAAAAATGGAGATTATTACAATCTACTACATCATTCATTTAGTTTTCTTCGTGTATTCTATATCATTTAATTGTAAATAAAAAACTTTAGTTATTTGCCACTCACTTATTCATT